TGTTTTCTTCCTGGAAATATATCCATCGATTCATATTTCCATCGAAATAATTTTTCAATAAAAATTTTTCAATAAAAATAATTTTTATTGAAAAAGTGAGAAATTACTTTTCGAAAATAATTTTTAGCTTACTCGATATTTTGTTTCTTTGAGCCCATTTGGGCCCAGAAAAATGTCCAATCTCCTCAGAATTTACGTCAACCAATAATTCTTCCACACTCGTATCGTTATATTCTGCAGATATTTCGTCTTTCTCATCGTATAAAATTAGTTTCTCAGCTTCTGGATATTCCATGTCAAATATGTCCCCGGAAAGATTGTAAAATGTCTGAACATCGTGTTTCAATGATTCCCGTCTTCTTCGCTTCGATTTTTTATCTTTTCTCTCTTTCTTCGATTTCTCTGTAATTGAAAATATAAAATAATTTCATAATTTTAAGAATTTATATTTTATTCTTCAGTAAAAGTGATTTAATAATTAAAATTTTGTTTCGTTTTAAAACCTGCGTACCGAATGGATATTCGAAGAATAAATAATTAATTTATAAACTAAAAGTTGTGTCTCGAATTTTCCTGCATGTATATGCGATAAATTCCGATGCAACTTGACTTGTACGGTTCACAAAGTTATATCCGCGTGAATGTATTACGTAATTCAATTGCAATCAATTTTGTAAATAATTGATGAAACTAGAATTCGTTTCCGTGTTGAACACAATTTTAGAGAAGATTACTTTTAAGTATAATAAATTTTCCATCGCTTTTTTTTTACTAAATATACATAAATCTTCGATCTATTTCTAAATATATTAAAAGAATAAAAAATTTCCAATCAATAATTTCAATCGACTTATTTCTCAATCAACGAACCAATTGATCCACGAATCGATCTAATTTATATTAATAAATACTCTACTCGGATATTCGTGCATTTGCAACAGAAAGTTACACACTACAAGAAGTTATCGTATTTAAATCTACTTCTGATGATAAATAATACAATCGTTATTATCTCTCGATACCTGCAACATCATCACCCACATTTTCTCTCGTCGACCACCACGTAGCTTGCTTCGACTGAAACATAACGTGTTCACCGTTCGTCAATGGTTGCACGAAGAACGATTTCTGACCGATCAGCATCATCGCGTACACTTCCTCCTCGCAGATAGTGACCACGACGAAGGAATTCTCATCATCTTCCAAACTTCCCCGTCGTAGATCGCACCTCGCCTTTTCGTGATCCTCTAACCTTCTTTTCCCATGTTTTACCCAATCCACGGTAAAATTTGAGAAGAGGAAACGATCGTTGACCACGGTCCTCAATGTCCAGTTGCTGATTTCGAGGAACATCGGTTCCAAACTTTCTCGAGTCGATCTTCTTCCTCTCCCGTTCTCGTTCGAGATCACTCGAGGATGAACGATCTCGTACTCCTGCAAATTATGCAAAAATTCCCCCATTCTCGATTTCGTCGCTATCGTACCGAGTAGCAGCCACATGGTGAGCAGAAAACTCGGAAGTTTCGATTGCGTCATGACGTTTCCTTTCGGCGAGAATTCAATCGAATTTTCCGGTCGCTTGAAATCCGAGGAGCATGTTTCTACTCTCTATATTGCGGATATAGTTATGTCGTGACAAGGGGATCGAAGAAGTCAACAATATTCTCATTTTGTCTCTTCGATTCATGTGCACTGCTTTCCATCGCGGTGAAAAGCGGACGTTGAGGTTATGTTGATCTTCTTGCAACTGGACATTTTTCTGGACATTTCTCTTTTCTTTTTCAGCTAAGTTTGAGTAGATAGAACTATTGTGAATCATTGGTATCACTTTGATCACTTTGATAATTAATCGATATTCACGAGTAGATCGCTTGATACAAGTTTAAGAAAGAATTGAATTCTACGATTCTTGCGTTTAAACTGTTGTAATTAGTAGAGAGCAATGCTGCACTATTTTATAAACTTCAGAGAAGTTTCGCAATGGTGGATACGATTCCCGTTTGAATTATCGCAAATAAATGAACACAAATTTAACAGAATGACACGAAAATATCATTTTACACAATTTTTTACAATACGAGAGAGAATAATTCTTCGAGGTAACTCTAGCAAGCTTGAATTTTGCGTATTGCGAAAAACTCGTGGCGACAATTAACGATTCACTGCAAATCAGAAACTGGATCGCGAGTGTGGTCGAAAGTAGAACGAGCGATAATAGCGATCACGACAATCGTACGCCTTTCCTCAAGGTTTTTGTCACACACGAAAATTCAACTTTTCGATTCCAAAATTTTCGAAATCGTCTATATCATCTCTGGTGTAGTAAAAATTTAAATAAGAGAACGAAAAGTAGTTCGTTTAACTTCTGATGTGAACGTTAAAAAACAAGATTCGCGATGTGGCAATCATCTCGAAGATTTCTCACACTGAAAATTCCAATTTACATTTTACGAATTACAATTTTTCCGCCTCGAAACGATATGCATTAATGGTAGTCGTCAAAAATGGTTTAGAATGAAAATATATTGAGAACGTGAATAGTAAGAAAAAAATTTTATATCGCGACAATTGCTTCTTCGCGTGAAAATTCGAATCTAACTTGTGATTTTTTTCCTTTCGAAATAGTGCACCACGTGGTAACAATGACATCGCGCATTAACAGCAATTACACGGAACACGCGAAAACTCAAGCTTACATTGCATACAATTTATCTAAACGGCACACGTCGTTCTCTTCGTAAGTGTAAAAGTAAAATGAAATAGTTCTGTTATATTTTGTCTCGATACATGTACGACGTATATAAACACGAAGGAAGGAGAGTTATGCTAATACCGATTACACAGGTTTGTAAACACATGAAAATTCGCACTCGATTTACAAATTTGTCTGTCGAAACGGCGCGTATGGTCTCTGTTCACATGGAATAATGGAATAAAATGGATAGTTCTTATATCACATGTCTCGATACAGTGGCGCGAACACGAAGAATTATGATGCGATTGCACAGCTCTGAACACGAGAAAATTCAAGCTCACATTCGATTTGAAAATTTCTTCGTCTGGAAACGGCGCGCGTTGTCTTTTGTTCACGTGGTAAAATTGACATGAAATGGAATGATTTTAGTGTTATATTTTGCCTCGATCGACGTTGAACGCGGCGGTGCGAACACGAAGGAACGAGAGTCGTGGTGCAACTGGCGGCCACATGGAGTGAATAGGAACGAAACGCGCGCGAGCAAATTGTGCGTAAGAGTAAGCGCGAAAACGCGTGGCTGGAAAAAGCAGCAAACTTCTCCCGCCCACTGAAGTTCTAATAATGGCAGCTTTATGTGCAATCACCGGAGAAACGGAGGATGCCGACGAAATGCATTGTTCGACCCCAAGAAGCGAGGTTTAACAAGGGCCAAGAGGATTTCGTACTCGAGTCGCCCCACCAGAATTCCTCGTTTCCTTTGAACTGTATTCACCAGAATACGCAATGGATCTAATCAAAAGGAATTAAATCTGTTCCGGCCATTTTTTTCTTCTGATGGAGATAGAGAAGAGATAATTTATTTATTCGCGTCACTGCATTTTTCTACTTTTTTTTTTTTTTTTTTCTAAAGATTTCTATTGACTTGAAAATTGAAATCTGAACCAAATTTTTATTTTTGATATTGGTACAAACTTAAATCTTGTTATCATGTGATAATAACAAGTGATATCAATATAATATAATCATTTGATCTGTCTTCTTGATTTGCTTTTATATTTTATTTTTTCCCCTTCGAAAATTTGATTTTCGAATTATTTCGATTTCATTTTTTTCTTCATCAACTTCAAAATAAGATAAAAAGTTAAAATATTTCGAAGAATTTCAAAGAATTTCGAAAAATTTAATTCTGAATATTCAAAAATATACAAAACTTGTATTCCTTATATTTCTGATATGGACAAAATTTAATTAATTTAAGAACGAAGACGAAAAATGATTTGTGTTAAAGCATCACATGTATGATAGATTATATTATTAATACACGTACTTTTTCGAAAGAAGATTATATTTGACGATGATCGTGCTGAATTCTTCCGAGAATAATTTTATTGTCTCTTAACAAGGCAATATTATCTTATTTTGTACGAGATCCATTGTCGTGCACTATCTTAAGTTTTCATAACGATTGTTGTATATGATAAATTTTGTTTATTCAAACGTACATCGAATATTCTAAAATTTATTAGAATTTTTAAATATCAAAAAAATTAAAAAAAAATTATTTTATAAAATTAAAAATAAATAAAGAAGATTTTCCTCGTTAATTTAACGAATGGTGTCACTCGATGATTGAAGATTTCGTCAGAACTTTCTAGAAATCGAGAATCGTACAATATTCATCTCAGCAAAAGTTAGATTGACGTTCAATCGAAGCCTTCTTTGGTTCTACGAACGAGATAATACAGATTTCCAGGATGTTGTTGGGACACGAGTTTAAGCTGAATGCTTCCATTTAGGTTGTGTGCAATTACGGTAATTGGTTACAGCTGTAAATACACTGACAACTTAAACGATGTGTTTTGGATATCTGATCCCATGTGAATAGAATGTGACTGAATTTCCCTCGTTCCCCTAAAATTTTAATATTATGAATAAAATATTTCATTTCTATTGGAAATCAAGCAAAAATTAATGAAATTAATATCAATAAAAAATGTTTATTACAAAGAACAATCAGTTCAAAAATTAAATAAATAAAATTCATAAATATTTATACAATTTATACAGTAATATTATATTATATATTGCAATATTATATAACAATTTGAAATATAATAATAAAATTATAAATAAGAAGGAACGTTCAATTTAAATAATTGAACAGTACTTCATCATACTCCATAAATTAATTATTATCGTGTTATTAATAATTTTTCAATAATATTTTTAATCTTTTTCTAAAGTTTATTCAAATACATTTTAATCCATGATATAGTATAATGTAGCTTTATGGAATATGAAATATTCAAGTTGATTTCTAATATATTTACAAAATTAAATATAATAAACATTACATTTATGCATATTACAACGTATATTACAGCGTATGTTTAAACATAAATGTCACGAAATTTTTCATTTTCATTTTATCAAAATTAAAATTCGAATGATATGTACATAATAATTAACTCATTATATTATTTACACGGAAGATTGAGAGTCATCTTCTTTGCAATGTCAGGACGGATGTATAATGATTGTCAATGTAATTTGCAATACTAAAGCTAGGAATAAATCAATCCAATTTATCGTCAATTCATTCGCAGCACCAGTGCCAACATTGCAAAACGATTGTTCGCAACAAGTAGTGCAAGCTGACAATTTTGTACGTTCGCCAATCACTATACATCCAGGATCGCATTTACTAGTACATTTCCTTTCCATCGACCACGTTTGAGGACTAGAGGTTGAATCTTCAGTGCTGGTAGTATAAGAAAATCGCTTTACCTGAAAAAAAAATAATGTGTCACAATAAAATGTGTAAGAAGTATTACTAATTTTTTATTTTATTACATATTTATTACTTATTTTTTTATATACATACTTTATTACTTATTATATATACATTATGAGTATTTAATATAAAAATTTGAAATAAATTTTTAAAGTAGAATATTATATTTTAAAATATTTAAAAAAAATTTGTTCTAATCATTTATGAATATTTATAAAATGAATTTCATTTTGAATGCAAAATTTTCATGAAATTTAATCAAATATTTGCGAATCTAATTTATGACGTTTGATATTTAACAAAATATACATTTGAATGTCACTGTATATGACATATAATGTTCTAATGAAGAGAATATTACCTTTGAAAATGTCATAGTGACCATTCTATATATATTATTTTTAATAATTATTTTTAAATTATTATTTGAAATGAATTTCATCTAGGTCTGTATCAAAATATCAATTAAAAATGATTCGTCAAATTTGATTTTTTCAAATTTTTATTTTTTTATCGAATAAAAAAATAGAATTAAATTATTATAATTATTTTTACTAATTACAAAATTTACGAATATTATTATTATGTTGCAAGGAAATTTCATTCCTATCTTTAACAGGCTTCTGCGGATGATAAATAAGTTATCATTTCTAGCCGCCTAGTAACGCTCTGTTTGGTGTAAAAACATGTGAGAGAAATAGAATATCAAACATCTGGTGGAGGGTCCGCGCGTCTCTGCATATAATCAACAAGCATTTGAATCGGTGTTATCATTTGTCATTACCATGCAAGTCCTTTTGTCACCAGTGCACTTGTACTCGAAAGCGCTATAATTTCCGGTAAGATTGGAACATCTCTCTCCATCTTCCATCGTTTCACATTGATAACACCATAAATCGTTCACTCGTTCCGATGCTGCATGAGTTCGATGTTCCGTAGATAATAATTGCCCTGATAATCATAATATAAGTAATATATAGATAAATATACAGATATTAATAAAAATCCATAAAAATCATAACAAAATAGAATTATAAAAATTGTAAAAATTATAAAAATTTTTTTCTATTTTTATTTCTCGTTTATACTTTTAATTTTCATTTTTCTTTTTTTTTTTTTTTAATATCACACTTTAAAACTATAATTCGATACATTTATTTTTTTAATGATACAATGCAAATAATCGTTCGTAATTTATCTACAAAAAATTTGATTTTAAATATTTTTATAATAATTCAACATTTTTATATTTTTTATTGTTAAATCGGACAATTATTGTATTGTTTAAAAAATAAATCTATTGAATTACAATATTAAAATAAAATTAATAAAAAAAAATAAAATTAAAAATAAAAAAATCATGTGTATCGATCATTTTTTATGATTCATAGCAAACTCGAAGGGTGCGGACATACAGAAAAACAAGCAGTAAAACGACAAAATGACAAATTAAACGATCATTAAATGATTATTAAACGATAGAAAATAAATCAAACATATAAGTCAGATTAGATTAAATTATATTATATTATATTAAATTATACAAGCACCGATAAAAAATCATTTATAACTTATTGCATAACTTCTATATGTCAATGGCCTAATACTTAAAAATAAATGCTTCAACAGGTGTAGTTTTCTATATATTCTATATTTTGATTATATATAGACAAAATTATATTCTTGGATTTCTTTAAAAAATCATATAAATAAAGCATTCTTTTAAGTAATCTATTCATAAAATCTATTCAAATAAAATTACATACAGAACAAAATAAAAATAAATAAATAAAATAAAAAACAAAAAGGAAGAAAAAAAGAAAAATAAAAAATTTCACCAAACCCACATTAAGATTATCCAAATTTAAAAATATATAATTAAACCAAAGAATAAAGAAATATATATATGATTTTGCCAATTAATCTCTTTAATAATATAAGTAAACAAAAAAACAAGTAATAAGACAAAACAAGTAATCGGTATATCAAGCTTACCATCAACAATTGCGATTGAAGTGACGATCAGCAAGCATGTGACAATGACACTTTTATTGTCAGCCATATTGATCAGCAACACCTCGTAAGAGGTCCGTAAATTAAATTGTACATTCGTATATTTTGTGCATCATCGTATATCATCGCGAACGCGTTGAAATGCAACAAAAGAAGATTCGAGCGCGGTAGATCGCCATGTTGATGTCAATGGTTGCGCATGCGCATATATAACTGTACATGCGCGTATTCGGCTGCTCTAGAAACCTCGAAATACGGAAAATCAATATCCATAGGAGCCGGAAGGTCCTGTCCGTTCAGCGGGAACGTTTGACGTCAAAGTTTTGTGCGCATCCGCGTCACATCCAGAAAACAGAAAATTTTATTGTCACGAAATCGATGATTCCACAGTACTGCAAATAAATATTACTTAAGAAAAACAGAATTTATAAAGAGCCGCCATATTTGATTATCGATACATAATCGATAGTGAAACGATCAATATTTGGTAACAGACAGTATCGATTCTACGTATTTTTTATTTTATAAGAATATTAATTTTTTATTAAAATAATATTGTTATGATTTTTGATTGAATTAAAATAATTCCTTAAAGAAATTGATAAATAATTTTTTTTTAATTTATTATCAATAGAAAATACTAATTGAAGAAAAGAAGATTATAATAAGCTGTAAAATTTCTTTCACTAAATTTTATCTGAATTGAATTGAATAAACTGAAATATATGTTCAAGCTTATATTCTTAATAAATTAAAATTCTATTTTTTGTATAGAATAATTTTATCAAAAAATATAGATTTGTAAAAAATATGTTTTTTTTTGTTCTTATTTGTATAACATAAATTTTTAATCTTATTTGTATAACATAATATAATATTATGTATATTATTAAATATATTATAATATAATTATAATATATAATTAATTATAATATATAATTAAATATATTATAATATATTAAATATAATATATTGTATATTATTAAAAGTCATTTTATAGTTATTGTAACACAGAAATTCATTAAAAATTAAAAATATTATAATTCATTAAAAATAAAAGCATAAAATATGCTTATTACTTTCTTTATATAAAAATTCTTTAAATAGAATTCTTTACATGTGAAAAAAAATTAAATTAATATTTCCATGAAAGATAATTTCAATAAAATTATATTAGTACACCAAAGGGTATTAATCATACTTCACCTTCATCCATCATCTCAATCGAAGTATGTCAAATTTAATCGCATTTCATCTATATTCATATCATTCTTTAAAAAAAATTTCAATTTAATCATACCAAGATGTTAATCATATTTTATCAATTTCATTCCTTAAAATTACATTCATTGACATTGTTCAAAGCTATAACATCTCTTCCATTAATTCCTTTTATAATTCATATCTTTTATTTTTCAGGAATCTCATTTTATCCCATCTCGACACATACAAGTAAAATTCAAATTAATCGTCGAGAGAGTAACCTGATGTTTACGAAAGTAAGCAAATACCACAAATACGACCAGCTATACGGTAGATTACTTCCAATTGGGTGCAACAAGCATGTCCAGTTAGTGGCCGAGTTAAAACACTGTTCTCGCGGTTCCTACCATGTAAGTAAATTATCCAGGAAATTTGTTACAGGTTAAATATACCGAGATCTCTTGTTGAAGTTCATCCAGCGCTATTCAGAAAATGAAAAAGAGAAATGGAAAGTGTCTACGCGAAACACTATTCCGTGCCTCTTGTTAAATGCTGGAATTGACGATTTCGCTTGGGAATACTACAAAGAAATTCAACGCTGTAATCAACACGAATTTTCGATAGAAACATACGCTTTGATTAAAAAGAGAGAAAATGAGAGCTTATTGCAGAAACAGCTAGTGCTGCAGCTAGTCTCTGAAAAAGAAATTATATAATTAAAATTTTAACAAAAGTATTTTATCGAAATTGTACACATACTTATGTTTTTTATTTTAATTGTAATTAATTTGTTAATTTTTAATAATAAATGCTAGTAAATAAAAATAGAAAATAGAAAACAAAATGTATCGAATACGAGGAATTATAGAAGATAATTTAATGAAATTTTAATAGAAGAAATTCTTAATTATTATATTAGATTCATTTGAGATAAATTTTGTTAAATAAAAAAATTTTATAATTTTTTTTTAACTTTTAATGAGTTTTACTTTAATGTTTTAAACATATTAATTTAACGGATATCTTATAAATCATCCATTTTAATTTAACATTTTATTGCATTATCACTATGATACAAAATATAATTCAATTTTACATTGCTGACATAAAATTTATTTTCAATTAATATTAAATTTAATTATGAATGATAAAATGATAAAAAAGATATTAAAATTGTGAATGAAAAAATTAAGAATTATAATTATTAATTATAATACATTTTTTTTGTAATGTAATAATACATTCTTTTCGTAATATAAATAAAAGAGAATTTTTTAAAATGAAAAACTACTCAGTGCAAGCCAAAAGAAAAAAAGAAATTGAAACCATATAACCACAGAACCAACTTTAGCAATGAATATTTCAGTAAAGGGCACTATTGTATGTTTATGGGTATTGTCGTAAATCGACTTACTTAGAGCTTAACTATGGGTTGAATTTATATTTTATGTTCCTTTGCAGATGCTCCGCATTCCATATAGAAATTTTGAAACTAACTGAATATTCGTAAATGAATATTCGTAAATGAAATATCTGCCAATAGTTTTAAAAGTAATATAAACTTTTGAATACTTGCAATCATAATTTTTTTTTAATTTAAATATTTAGCCACTACATCAAATAACAGAATTTTTTTAAAATTAATTATTAAATTATATTTTTGAAAAAGTTAATATTTTATAAAATTACAATATAACAAGAATTTTTCAAGCTCTGGTATTTCTGATTATTCCAATATTCTTAAACAATACATATAAATAGAAAAGAAGTTTATACTTTTTCTTGTAAAAATAACTTTCTTTTGAAACCAATCTTTGGATCAATTTTCCGGTTCCGCAGACACAGTGTTATACGTAGTGCTACAACTGCAGAATTTAATATCTTCCATCGTTACTTTTCAACTTGACTTATGTTCTAAAGAAAATTTTTCAAGAAAAAAATTTATGTTAATATATTGCAAAATGGAAATACGCATTAAGAAATAAAAATGAGAGATCTCAATTAAAATTATACTTACAATTTAAAATATAAAAATATAAAAATAATATAATAAATATAAAAATATGCCATGAAAACGAGAATTTATTTTTTTTAGCAATATATTTATATTATATGTATATTAGCTTGAAGTATCATCCCTTAAATATTTGGAAATAATTTTCTTTTCTATATTACCTGTAATAATAGTATTAATATTTATTTATATTTTAATAAATAATTTAAAAAATAATAAAATAATAATAATATAATATAAATTATTATAGAAAATGGATATTTGTATTCTCAATCAATATAAAAACAAATTGATTATAAAAAAAATTTTGAAAAATTATATATTATATTAATATTATTTATAAAATCTCATTATCATTTAAAAAAATTAAACTCACTTAATTATCAAAGCTTCTAAAGTGGAAAAGAAATACTATTCCAACATTTCTCGTTTCCCGTTCATTTTTGAACGACTGCTATTAGCAATGGCGTGTGCCAATAATCAAAGCGTACGGTACTCCTTTGAACTTTTTCTAGCATCTTTCTTTCCAGAGTAATGGCTCAAACTACTCCTGTACGCTGATTTAACGAGTGTGGATTATTTTCTTTTTATTCTTGCTTCTCGTTTCACATCTGTTGAACATCGGTTCATGGTATTCGACCGTAATTCACTTATTATTAGATTGTTACATATGAAATGGTCGATTCAGAATCTACTGATTAAATATTCTCTTAAATAATATTTGTTGAAAGTAAAACTCGAAATTGAATATAAATTACATAATATTTTATCATTTTGTTATAAAAAAATAAATTATATATTACAATAAACTATGGAATTATAATAGAGATTAAATTAATTAACATCATAGAGTAAGTTAAACCTTTAGTTGAGAGCGGATTTTGTATGACGTTGGATAATTTGATTTTAAATTGAAATCAGAAATTTTTGTTCGATCATTTCACAATAGTCTGCTGCAGTTGCATGTTTTATAGGGGTGAATAGCCGCAGGCAAATCGATTTTAGGTCTACAAGGGACAAGTGTTATTGCTTTCACTTGAACATTTTCTCTAAGTGTATTGTCTTAAGATTTATTGGAATTATGAATTACAGAAGTAAAATGAAAATTTTGTGTAACTATCCAGTTGTGAATTATCATTGTGAATTATCTAAAAAAAAAAAAAAATAAAAATAAATTTATTATTTATTATCTTCATTTTTAATAATAAAATTGCAAAAAAATAATAATATAAAATATCTGATATTAATACAATTAATACCTTAATAATAGATAATCATGCTCTAATTAATCATTATTGTTTAATTTATCATTTGATGTAATATGATAATTATTATTAACTCTTATGAATATATAAAGATATTTTTTTATAAAATTCATAAACGATTATTAATTTATGTTTGTTTCAGGAATCCATTTTTTTTAAAAGAAATATTTTCTATAAACTGCTTTCAATTATATTGAATGTAATATTAATATTTAATGTTAATAACATATATTTAATATAAACAACATAATCTTCAATTATTACTAACTTTTCCCGCTATTGATAAAATATAGAATAATCTATAATATTATCAATGATAAAAAATACTATTATTTTTTCCATATTGAAACTTCCAATATAAAATACCACTAATAAAATACATCTAGAAATAAAATTTTTATTTTTTGTTTTGCAGTTTTGAAACAAAGCAACCATTAATTTTTATTATTGAAACATAAAGCATGCAGCATATGTTATGAATAGCATAGAAATATTTATTATATTCATTTCAACAATTTTTTTTTATGAAACCAATTATAAAAATTTTATATTTACAAAAATTACAGAATAACTACTTTAAGGTTGATACAAAGACAGCAAGATATTAATTCATTTTTAATAAAACCTATTTTCTTTAATTTCCTCTCTTATTGTAGATTTTATGAAACCATGTGTACTTTTTTCTAAACTTTTTCCGTTTATTACTTCTTATATTTTGAGTGACTTGTATTAACACTATCTTTTTTAATAGTAATGATTTTATTTATTAATTTTATTTTTACAAATATTTAAATATCTCGAATACGATGAGTTAGATTTTCATCAGCTGTACGTTAAAAATAAAATATGTTTAATATTTGCCATTGGAAATTAACTTTAAATTTAATACAGTTGAACAAATCATATTTTCACAACGGTTATTTTGATTTAAATGAAATAAAGCTGGTAGAAAAATTAGTAAGATAAATATTAATTTCTCTGAATATTCATAACGATTGATAAATTTATATTGCACGTTTCGCGATGGAAATCTCAAAATTTAACGAGAGAAATCTTCTCTCAGTTATATTTGTAATTACAACAAGTGGTTATAATAAGCTCTTAGGAAAAGTTCTTGAAGTTGAATTTTAAAAAAAACGAAAAATAAAAAATTAAAAGTTTCAAAGCTTTGAAGCATTAAAAAAAAATTGCGAAATGGAATTTAATATTTGAAAATCAAAGTATATAAATTAGATTAACGTAATATGAAATAATTGACAATAGAGTACAAAAGAAAAGTTAATATTTGTAATATTTCATTTCAAAGAATTTTCTTAATTACGTACCTAGTAATTACTTTAATAAAAAGCAGTTACATTAAATGAAACGTCTTAAAATTAGGTCAAGAGAATTTAATCTCAATGTGTAATCTCAATTTTATAAATATTTTATGAATAAAGCATTTTCTATTTCAAATAATTCTTTGATAGAGGTTTACAAGATTGACATTTAAAATTTATTATCATATCATAAGATGTTATATGAAATATTATAGTTGATTAATTAATAAGCTTATGAAAAGTCATTAATTTTGAAATTATTATAAAATTACATTCATTTATATGTTAGACACGTTTTGTGCATATTTTATACAGATAAATCTGTTTGTCACATCATATATTTCATCATATATCCTCTTGAAAATTATTGAAAATTATTCTGTAATTCTGATAATAAATTTCAATTGTCACTACACGCAAATACGAACCAATTACGAAATAATCTTCGATGAAATTCAATCTCTTAATAAATTTTCATAACGATTGAATAATTTACATATTTAAATATAATGATTCAATTTATATATCGATATATTATTATTAATATATCGAATATATTATTAATAAAGTAAGAAATTTTTAAATTAAATTATTTGAATTTTATATTAAAAAAATTATATTAATTATATTATATATAATTGAATATATTATAAGATTCAAATATGTAAATTAGTTATGTTGTGTATATATTGAGAATTGCATAATATACAATTAATAAATTCGAAATCACGTCTCATCCATATGACCTATGTGTCAAAAGCAAATTGAAATTGATTTATACGTAATACTGAGAAAATTAAAGGAATTCGGAAAATATTTGAATCATATATGCACTAAGATGTTAATATTTTTTGTACGATTCATTTTGTTAACTTCATTTTGTTACATTCATTTTTCATATCTTTCATGTACAAATATAAAAGTATTATCTTCATCAAAAATATTTATAATATAATCATAATAATAGTTTTATAACAATAACAAAGAAACAAACGAAAAGAATCACATTAAACAATGAAAATGAACATGAGAAAGTAGTTTCATAATGTAATTGATACTAAAAGGATCGAGAAATTACCTTATTTCATTGTCAGGATAAAAACTCAGGCGACTATATTATCACTTAAACTTTTTCAAGATGAAATCAATTAGAATCTGAGTGGCGTTAATTTTTACACGAAGAATGTTTTGAAGTATCTGAAAAATGAAGGTTAGAAAATTTTATATCGAAACAATAATAAAAAAAATATAATATGATTGATACTTTATGTTTGCAATATATAATATATATAAATATTGATATATATATAAAAGATTAATATCCGTTTAAGATTTTTTATTATACTGTAAGATTATATTAAATTATTTTTATATAGATATAAAAATAATTTTTACATAATTTTTACTTTCATTGTTAAAAATTTAATCAAATTATTTTAAATTATAAATTCTCTCTCTTTTTTAGATTCAGAGATTAAAAAATTTTTCATCGAAATTTTTTTTAATATAGTGCATTTATTATAATGCATTTGACATTACTAGAATTAAAGTACTTACGAAGTAGATTTCACTTTGTATAAATCATATTTTTGCTATATCATTTATTCGAAATTGTAGTTCTGATTATTGAAAGAACAAATCTTATTAATTATTCTTGAATTTTCCTTAATCATTGTATCATTATAATATCATATTCCATAGTAATTCATTCCAATTTTGTTATTAAAAAAAAATAACTGTAAAAAAATAAACTGTAAATAAATAAAATTCTATTTAAAAATTATCAAAGAATCTTACAATGTATTTTTATATAATTATATAACATATAAAAAAACATATAACATAACAAATAACATATAACATATAAAAAAAAAAAGTAAAAACTTAATATAAAATATGAAATAAAAATATAGGGAATATTTTTTCTTTTTTACAAGAGATTATAAATATATAATGAAGAGATCGTATCTAAATTATTATATAATTATATAAACGATCGTATCTAAATTATTCTTATTTCCAATCTCAAAAGCATGTATGTTCTTTTCTTTGTTCCGAGGATCACTATTCTATATATCAGAGACAATATAAGAAAGAGATTTAAAAATCAATCAAGGAAAGAACTGTAAGATGAATACAAAATCATATTCTATGATATTAACAATATCATAGAAATAAAATATTATGAAATTCATTTTATTAAATTATGAAATATAGAAATATTTAAAGTTATTTAAAACCAGAAACTTGTTAAAGATAATAATAATATCTCAGTATTTTATTTAATTTTTTAAATACATGGTTATTGAAATTTTCTTCTCGAATAACAAACTTATAAATCTTTTAAAATATAAAGAAAAAAAATATTTTAAATATTTTTTAAATTAAAGTTACATTTTTTAAATAAATAATGACTTTTTATTTCATCTTTACAGTTGTTATGAATTATTTATTATTTGTTGTCAAAACAGAAATGCATTTTGTTTGCGTTAAATTTAAAAGCGGTACGTGAAATAACTTCCGTAACAAGTTAACATGACGAAATAACAAAAATTGTCTTCATGCAATTCTCAACGAGCCTTTCTATTTATAATGTATAGAGAATATAATTTAAAATTTAATTTTTCATTTAAAAAAATATGATGTTTAAAAAAAAATAATTTATTAAAAAGTAAAGTATATTAAGCAAATCAATTAAATTTTTTTTCTTCTATTATATGTATTTAAAATATTACAATAAAAAAATGCAATGCTCAATTTTCAGAAATATGTTTAATAACTGATAAAATTATTTATATATATATAATTACATTGTTCATTGCAATTAAAATTCTGCAACTAACATAACCTCATTAGTGAGGTTAAACTCTACAGATGCTACTATAGCAAAGTAACAAGTTCGTAGGAATATTAGCATAAGGAACTTCATGACTTTGCTCGAATCAACTTGTCGAAATTCATCAAGGACACAGGTCACGTCCATCAAAGTTATAACTCAATATCCACTAGATTGCCATTAAATATACATTAATAAATGATATCATAAAATATTAATGATATTTATCTATCTAAATCTTAATAATAAGCGATAATTTTCGATATTTTCAATATTATAAATCTTTAATATAATATTTAATAAACTTAATACTAAATTATTACTTATTTAATCTTATTTATTTTAATTAATGAAATTTATATGCATAGTTTTTACATTAAAATATAAATCGTGAAGTATTTTGAATATTTTATTTTATTAATTAATTTTAGATTAAAATTTTTTGCATAGAAATTTGGAAAGATTAATTTAAATGTTAATTAATAAATTAAACGACATTAAGGAATGTATATCTAATAAAAATTCAAGAATATTTTTTGTTAAAAGATAGGATAATAAAAAGACTACAATAATAAACATAAGTAAAATCTGTGGCAAGAGATAATTTCTTAGGAAATGTTAATTATATTCTGTTGTTTTAGAAACTTTTGCATATTAACCATTATGAAACTATTAATTATCACATTATCAAAGAAATTTTAATTCTTTAAACTTTAATTAAAAAATTTCTTAAGTTTTTATTATCAAAGAGTAAAAAATTTTTCATTTTATTTTAGTTAAAAAATCTTGTTATTTTATTATACATTTAAATGAATGATTTATAATTTATTAAAGATTATATATTCATTAGTGTATAATATTAAGAAAATTTTAATATTTTATATATTTATTAAAAATTAATATTTAATTTTTTTAATACCTAATTAATTTTAGTATCTAATTATTTAAATTTAAAAGTTTTAAACAATTCAAAATATGAATTATATAATTACATTATTAATATTTTATATTTAACTAATGTACATATAATTTAATTCATATTTCATTTTATTTGATATATTAATCAATATTTAATTTTAACAAGATGAATTCTATAACATTATTTATAAAATTTGAATTCCCAAATATTAAACATTTCTATAAATATAAATGTTTCATTATATTTAAAAAAAAAATTGATTTCGAAATAAAATAATACGAATACATAACCTTATATTTGCAATAAATTATCGAACACTATTTTTATTTCTCTTTTTATCATATATATTATACATTTAAAGAAAAAAATATTAAATATAAATAGTATTATTATTAAATATTAATATATAAATATATAATATAATTCTAAATTTAATTTCGTTACTTACACGTCATTATGGCCGCCACAGTATGTTTATTCTTCTTTTTTCTATTGTGTAATATACTTTTATTTACGAATCACAAAGAATCCTTCTCGTTATATACCACGATCGATTATATTTACATCGACACAAGAATTCGGACATCATTTCGTTACGTTTGGATAATTGAATTAAGTCCAGATCATCGATGTTTACAGCGAAGCAACACGTGAGACCGCCAAAAGTGCTTTCCACCCCCTCACATAACTCATATCGGCCTTTCATGGATCTAACGGAAGAAGTTTAAACGTTAGAGAATCGAAAACACTGATTGGTTATTGCGCTCCGGGTCGATGGTGGAAGGGGACGCCGGGTCGCTACGAGCCTCGCAGTATCGCTTCGACTTTGAACGCGGCAGGTTCGGTGTCGTTTGCGTTGTGTAATTTCTTTATTATCTCAATTTATCATTTATTTAATGTTTTAAAAAATCTAATAACGTGATTATATACCAATACGAAAGTAATAAACACGCGTTCGATTCGCGGAAAATTCTCGGGTTTTTTCGTGCATATATATATGACGGTTAAGTGACACGCAAACAGGTGCACCTAACGCATAGCACAAGAAACGAATCACGGAGGTCGTTGCACGTAATATCTACCAACAGACAATTCGCGAGTACGGTGTCTACAATTATATAGTAACGGATTCTTTTCTTATACGATACCACTTGTCACCAAGAATCCACTATTGTCTTCAAAGAGAAATCGACTTAGTATCTTTGTTACTTATCATCGTGTCGGTAAGTCCTAATTATTATTGTATAATTATGAAATATCATTTTTAAAGCGAGAGTTTCTTTTTTTTTTTTATATGTAAGTTTTTAATAATTCGATTGACAAGATAATGTGCATTATTAAGAGTTTGAATATCCCGCCACTAAACGAAAAATATAATGAATGATAGTAACGATGATCTTTGTTTCGACTATATTCTTTTTATTTCTTTTTATCTTTTTACTTCAGATTACAAAGTTAGATATTTTGAAGGCTATTATATCGTAATAACTTTTTCAAAATCGTTGTTTTATTTATCGAAACATAAAGAATAAAGAATATAATTAGCACCTAGGAATTTTTTTAACGAATCACTTTTAATCATTTTCAGTGAAATTCAAGCGAAAAAAATATCCTTAACTGAAGTAAAATTGGAATGCTTAAAGTTTAACTAATCAATTTATTTATCGAATACTTGTTGAACAATACTTGTTGAACATAAACTTCTAAATGTTATAATATCGTAAATTATACGTTCTTCAAATACATTTAGATATTTCGTTTCGTTTAAAATAATATAATTTAATTATTTATTCCATTAATTATGCACAATATTATTCAAAAAAATTATTAATTTAAATATTATCTTTTTTACATAATTAAATTTTTAATGAGAATTATTAAACGAGAACAAAATTAATATTGTTTTTCTCTAATCAAAGAGAAAATAAAGAATAAAAATATTTGACACGTATTCGTGGAAAAAAAAATATTTATTGTTTAAACATTTTCTCAAGAAAGAATATAAAAAGATTTCAAAACAACTTTTTATTTAAATATAACTATAGTATTTGTAAAAATGCCATTATTATTTTAGTAACTTTTTATTTTTTTCTTTTTCGATAATAATTTAATTTTATGAATTGTTTTTAACAATTTATATGTTATATAATATAATATGATATTTCATAAAATTAAAACCAAATTTTGAATCAATTTAATATTATCCTTACTTCGAATGGATCTTACGATTAATAAATAGGGATTATTAAAATCCCTATTTTCATGTTTCACATATTTCCCTAGTATCGAATTTTCATATTCGTGTTTTACGTATTGTCCATAAGAAAATATAAGGATAAATCTTCAAAAAAGCAGATTGCTTCGTTTTGAGTTCACTTATAGTATTATATTTTCGTTATGAAATTGCGTGGTCACTTAAATTAATGCAATTTTTTCGTAATATTAAATACTCAATATTAATAAATCAATTAAAAATAAATTAATTCATCGTTATTGTTACTCAATGAAAGACAATTAAATACTATTAAATTTTTCACATTTTCGATTCGGGAAAAATTTGCATAGTTTGCACGAATAACATTCCGTATAATTTCTGTTGCGTCTATTTACCAAACATTTCCATTAAACTCTATTTCAAACTCTCGCGCAGATTCGTAGATACATCAAACGGAATGGTTCAATGTTTAATCCTATAAACTGAAAATTCCGATTGTTAAAGCACGGTTGATTCATGAAAAAAATTAAAGAAATTTAATATTTTACAGATGAAATTTCGTTTTGAAACAATATATCTATTTATCAAATGACAATGTGTATACATTTGATTTTTTTATTCTAATAGGTTATGTTTGTCATTTTTTACAAAAGTTTCGATTTTAGTGAAAAGTTTTTTATTTATTTTACAAGAGATTAAAGGATTAAGAAAACGAGAATAAAAGAAGGAAAAAGTGAATACATTTTTATTTTCTGGCAATTGATTACCATGACGAACGTTTAATTTCATTTTTTTCGCGGAATTCAATTAAAATCTTCGCAAGAATTGCGGAGTTACACGCGGATTTGCGAAAGTATCGATCGTAGTATGACCAATCCTTTCACAGCAAATGAAATAAATGAAATTCAAGATGTAAATTTCGTGGAATTTTTTCTCTGTTCCCTCGTTAATTGTCGAAATGTCTCTCGAAAGATATATCACTATATATATATACGAATTTCAAGCAACTTTTTTATTTTTTTTATTTAATTCGATCGTGATTAAGTAGAAATAGATGCTAATTAACAATTTTGAATTATGATTTTAAAAAAAATTAATCGAACGAGATTTGTTTTAAAAATAGATTAAATTTGATAGCTTGTTATCAATTATTTAATTTAATGAGACAATGGGAAATTATGTATTTATGTTATTTGAATAATCAAATTATCTGTTATTATAATTATAATTATATACTATAATTATAATTATAATATATCATAATTAATGTTAATTAAATGTATTTGTGTAAATGATCAGAGAATGAAAAGTATCAAATTGGACAAAATCATTTAACATATTTCTACAGATTTAATTATTTTCTTGTCCCAGCTCAATATTTTAAAAATTTTGATACCATTTTTAAAAAATTTCTTTTTCAATTCTCATTCTTTTCCTATTATTATGAATATCAAAAATCAAAAATAGGATTTTTCATTCTGTAGACATTTTTTTGAAGAAGAATCAGGATATCGATTTACGACTCGAATAAATTCATAAACATTCAAATTGGAATAATCAGTCGAATTCATTGATTCGAAGGGTTCGAATTAATGAAGTTTAGTGTTTAGTTATTAAATTACAAATTCATATACCACTCACTTGACCGGTATTCGAAGTGCTTTGATCATAAAGGGTCGCAGTACCAAGTGATGTTGCACCAGACAATAAGACTACCGATGTGAAAATATCCTCGACTTCCTCTCCTTTTCATTCTCACTTCCTTCGTAATTTATTACAATAGATAGAAGAAAGGAAAAGGAAAAAAGAGTATATATATATATATATATATATATATTTAACTTTATTTTTTTTTTCTCCATTATGCGAAAGAATTGTCAATTGCAATTCTCTTATACTTCTTCATCTTCCTTTGACGTCATTCGTTGTATGACATTATTTGATATTAACAAAACAAAGTCGTTAGGATAAAGATAGCATAGCCCTTTGTTAAGTCTTTATGGTCGAGGAACTGTGGATGACGTGAGATGTATTATATCGTATGAACGATAATCATTATTGAATGTTTTCCTTTCGCTTGTCGGTCTTTCACGAAACAATTGAATGATAGGTGGATCGATTTTTTATTAAAGATACGAAATTAATTAATCTTATATAATTATAACTGAGAATAATATGAATTAAAAGAACGAATATTTTCAAAATTTTTATTAAGAGAATTAAAGGGAAACAAAGAAACGTTTGTAATTTTAAAAAAATTTTATAAGGTAGCTTACATTTTGCATAATATTTCTGTACAACTCTATATATTAATAATAATAGAAAATAATAATCTATGATTATTAATTGTGTAAATATCATAATACGCACTTTGAATGTTTTATATTATTTTATACGTATTATATCATTTTTCATATGATTCAATGAAATATGTTAAAAAAGATATTATTTCTAAGATTTTTTCCATTCTGTAAATATTTACCGTGTGCTTTCTAAAAGCTTATAAAAAATTTTCAATTTCATGTTGCCACTTGAATTGACATTCGAAATTCAATAAAATAAATAAAATAATGGAGAAAAATTATAATACTTAATTTTTTATTTTAACATTTGGCAAGATACGTAAAGAAACATTCTTTAATTCCATTTTAAATGCTACAAATTTTATTAAATTTGTGTATGTAAATTTTTGCACAATTTGTAGTTGTATAATTTCAATGTAATTGTAAAAGTTAGGTTATCGACCAATTAATCCCATTACTTTCCCATTGAATATTCAATGTCTTGTGGTAATCATTGTTATCTTATTATTGTTAGAATCTTCACATCTTCAACTCTTATAATATCTCAGTTATCAGTTTATCATTTAAATATTAAATTTTTTGCATCAAAAGATCTCTGAGATGACAATATTATTTTCCAATAAGATGATTTTTTTAAAGAGTTGACACATAATTAATGAAACAAATCAGAAAAAGAAAAGGATTAAAAATTATTTGACACTTATATATAATTGAACAGATAGAATTTAAAATAAACTCGATATTGCAAAGAATGATTTATTTAGAAATTTTCCAAACGGTTCAAGTGATTTTCCCGTGGAAGAATTTAAATTGTGATACTTACACGTACCTACTTATATATTCCGGTCCACGTGCAATGGAATTTATTCAACCGAATTTTTAATCTTAAGGATGCACATTCCTTACGTATCTTCGAAATCGATTTTCTAAAGAATGAGCATTGCTACGTGGAGCCTTCATCCTGCATTTTCAATTCATTTTTCGCGAAATTATTCCTTCAATGTAATTAAAATTCACCATTTTTACTAAAAAATGCAGTAAACAATAAATCTTTTGAATTTTAATATATTAATAATTAATAAATTTTAAGCCTATAATTATTTTTATAATTATATTTTTTCCTAGTTTTTTCTAGGGAAATTATTATTATTTTTTCTAGGGATTAATTATTTGAAAAAAATAAATATTGGATATCTATTGCTCCAAACAATTTGTTATGCTTTACTTAATTGCTAAAATAGCAGATTTAAATTACAATAAAAATAGAAATAAAATATAAATATTGATTAAATATTTAAAAAAAAAGAAGAAAGTATTAGATACCTGTTATCACTATTCGAAGATCTCCAACGACACTATGTTGTTTGCAACCAGAAATATCATTTGCGCGTAGCATAAAATATCGAATTACACAATTAACAAGATGTTGCTCGAACTTCGTTATGGAATAATTCTGGAGAGAAGAGGTTCGAAGAATATTGTTTCCGTTCTGTGACAATGAAACTTTGAAGCGAGATGTTTCCTTTCCACGAAATTATCAATATATTCGTGACAGTTTTAGAGACTTCGTTCTTCGACCTTTCTTCCATTTCTTCGCTTCTTTCGCCTCTCTCCCTATCTCGAACTCTGTTGCATTCCAGTCTCGATGTTTAATTAAAAAAGTTGTACCTCGATTTCAATTATTCGTTATGTTAACATGAAAGAT